AGCATGCCATTTAGGGTGCGGTGGCAGAGTGGTTAGTGTGCCCGTCTCCAAAGCGGAAAGTCCGGGTTCGAGCCTCGTTTCGGACACAGATTTTTTCGCCCCCTCCTGCCCACCTAGCAGTAATGGGTACCTAACTTCGAGTTGGGGAAGTAAAGGCGGCGTGGAAAAGAACTGGCCACCCTACCACAATATGCTGAAGGCCCAGGAAGTTGTCTCACTAACAAGGCAATCCCCAATGTCCGGATCGAATGCGGGAACAATTTTACTTTACCCACGCACTGAATGAACATTATTGTGACAATGTGCTTCTCTTAACTCACACTAAAACTTGGGGATCAGCCCCTCAATCTTACGAGTGTAACTTCTAGTTTGTTACCAGGCTAGAATGTCTGATTTCACAGTTGATAGGGCTTGTGGCATCGGTTGTCCAGTGGTTAGGCTGTCAGACTCATTATAATGATGAGGTTGTGGGTTCAGGGGATTGAGCCTCAGCTCTGATTTGTCTTAGGGAAAGGCACTTTACATGAATTATCCTCACTTCATCCAGGTGGGACTGGGTACCTGGCCATAGACAAAGACAGATCTTGACTGATTGTTTTTGTTTTAACGCCTGTGAAATGGCAGCTTACACTGTATGCTTCCCAGGAAGTTGAGGTCTTCTTGAGTTGTCGAGGAAAATGTGTGTCACACAGTTGAAACTGAAGGAAAATTGATAATGTACTCAAATACATATAGGCCTACACATATAAATAATATACAAACTTAACATACATACATGCATACATATATTTCTGTTCGCAAGTCTGATATAATTTTTTTGTCTTTGGTTGTACATGAATGTTTGTAATATGGTTAATTGATACTGGCTTTACCTTGTAGAATTGGTTATGGTTAATGTTAAAGTAGTCCTGTTAGTAAACCATTTGATATAATAATTGGTAACATTTGAACTGATTTTCAAAGTAAGTACCTGTTAATTGTTGAGAACCTTCTAATTGTATCACATGTTCGTACAATCAAATTGAAACCAAGCCCAACGTAATGATTTGTGCCATGAATTATTGTGGTATTAAATTTATCTTCTTCTCAAACAAGTTCTTTTTTCGATTGTGTCGTAATAGAATTTCACTACTAGATCTAGAATTTTGTAAAAATTTGATGCGTCCAGTAGTTGTTTTCCTGCGGCCTTTCTGATTTTGCTGAATTTCATCATCATCATCATCATTGCCTATCTCACTCTGCACCAGGGTATATAGCCCACGGACGAACACTCTCCACCTTTCTCTATCCTGGGCTAGGCTCTTGATGTCTTTTCACACTCTGAGTGTATGTTTGTAAATGTACCTGTGTAACTGCCTGAGCAGAGCATGAACGTAGCTCTGCGCTTGACGCTTATTTTGTGGTTAGAGGGCTTATATTTCTGTCCTTTTGCTCAAGGATTAATGCTATTGCTTCCCTTAGTCACCGTTTTATTTGTGCAAATTTGGGAAGGGGTAGGTGCCG